GTTTGGAGTCGTGGAGGATTTTGTCAGCAGTGAGGCAGGAGCACTTTGAACAATTTGCAACAGTTTCAGATACTACATTAGAATATTGAATGCAAGTTCATAACACTTGGAATATACCGTAAACCGTCCTTTGTGATATGAATATTGCACACGCTGATCCTGTGATGAGAAAATAGTCGCCGTATACTGTGCAGCCTTAGAGCACGTCTCTAAAAACGCTCAAGCCCACGTTGCATCTTCTCTCATCTTCTCTTCTTAAAGTTAGAAAAGTGTTTTTCTAACTTCTGTTGGAACCACAAAGCCCAGCATTCAGAAAATATTTCTTTTTTTTTTCTACTTTTCTCTGAAAAGCAGGCAGATTCAGATATTCATTTCTCACAAACAACCTTTGACAAAAGACCGTTGAAGGGCAAACAAATAAAAATATCCCTCCATCCTTTTGAGAAACGCATTGACAACGCTGCAGAAATGATGGGCTGCCAAGACAAAACAGACACACTTCTATTCACATAAATGAGCCACTCAGAACACAGCAAAAGCCACCTCAGTTCTTGTTTACATGGCCGATGCACCTGAAATCAGCACGACTCCTCTGGCCAATCACTAATCACACCACTGCATGAAATAATACTCGGTGTTGACAACTGAAAACAAATTTTCCGTAGTTTTTTTTTTTTTTTTTTAAACAATGTAATATAAGAAGCTCAGCAGGAGGCGTTTCTGCATAAACAATTAAAGCCGAGGCGACGAATCAACATGCTGTCACAGACGAGCAGCAAAGTGTCAGAAGTTACTTAGATTTCAACGGTAGCACAAAATATGTATTTTAAGGCTGCCATAAACTCTTACATTCATCAGTATCAATGGCAACCCAGCTGTTTCAGAACGTAAGGTGGCATCATCAAATGCATAAGTTAAAATGCCAAAAAACTAACTTGTTATGAAGTTCAGAAGTGAGGCGGCAGACTAAAACCGTTGATTCTCAATCCTACTTTAATGGCCAAATATCATCATATTTTATAGACCAAAAAAATGTGTGAAGCATAAACCAAAATTGGCTTTCAATTGTTTTTTAAAGTGCATAAGTGACGTAATAACCCTTTTCTGAAACAAAAAGAGACTTTTAAGTCATATCCTAGAAACCAAAAATGTATTTCATTTATATAAAGTGACATAGTATCTATAACCATGCTGAACATCAACGGGAGAAATGAATTGCTTTCTTGACAAAAAAAAAAAAAAAAAAAGCCTTTAACTGGAATTAGTTGAATGGATGACTCACCATTTAGAGATTATTCCACTGACAAGTTGGTGAGGAACATGCTCTGCTCATGTTTGTGCATGAAAGAGCAAGAATGTTGTCAGAACGAGACAAACGCTGTCGATCTAAATGTGTTTAAGTATTTTAAATTACAGATTTTGTTACAAGCGATCATTTACCACTGTGAGAGAACAGACGCACTAGGAACGTGACAGATCCCTTTTAAATGCCTCTGTAGGGTGTCTGTTTGTTAGGTCCACAGCTCTCAGACAACTCTTTTCCTCACTTCATTCTCTTCACAGGGTAAATCCCAATTCTAACTGGAATTGGGCATTTTGGGCAACATTTTTAGCTGTTTTTTTTTTCTTTCTTCTTTTTAATATTTCTCAATATTAGAAATGAAAATTAATATATCCAACTTGAACCATGAGTCAGAACACAGCAGAAAAGGAGAAGTTATAACGATGATAATTTATGCCCTTTAAAGTTTCCGCTGCAAATAACGAGAAAACCTTCTGAAGGAAAATATGTCATTTCTGCATAAACAGATGCCAAGACGTAAATGCTGGCTCCGTACATTTTTGAAAATGATTTATGTTTTGCAGCCCTGGAAAAAAAATCTTTGCAGAACACAACTTCAAAGGGCCTTAAAGCTTTTGGGTGATTATTTTACAAAATACAATATGATGTGCCAGGCAAAACCGACGTAAAAACTCCAGTGTGGCCTACAATAATCACACCGAGACGCCATAAATGCCATTTAAAAATATACCGAAATACTTTAATTGTGAAACCTGCAAGGCAAATGAAATTATGATAAGACACAGTATGAAAAGGAAATGAAAGAAAAGGGGATTCCAGGATGTCTTGAGCTCGATTCAGATAAGTGGATTACTAAATGGATGTGAGCTATCAACCTCTCATCTTGTTTCTGCTCAGGGGGACGATTCCAGTTTTGTCTCAGCCAGCTCCTGAAATAACACCACAGCGATTGTAAGCACGGATACTTTGCATGATCAAATGTTGCTTTCCCAAGGATCAAACATGGCTTCCCCTGGATTATTTCATAAGCTCTGACACTTCGTCTGCCTCAGATTTTCTGTTTTCTTCTGTCACCACAAATTATATTCATGTTGCTTCAATCATGACCTCAAACACAGACTAATGTCAGATTACAGATTTCTCAATAGTCTTTAAGCAGCAAAGACAAAAAAAAAAAAAAAAAAAAACATCTGAATTTAATCACCCAAAAATGTAAAACTTCCTAATTGAAAATGTACTAAAAAGACATAAACCAATAATAAAGAAACTTAGTGATTAGTCACACCTTTCTAAGAATCCTGGAAAAATATATCTTATGCACAACTGACAGACTTCATCATTAAAAAAGAAAATATTTACTATACTTTGCTAACAGCAGCAGGGAAAACAAGAATAAAGTAACAATAAAAAAGAGAAAAGGAATAAGGTGTGCAGTATTAAATGTAATTGTACACTAGAGACCACATTACGTTCCCAGTCGTGATCTTCAAAGTTAAGCTTCAAACAAAAACGTCAAACGTTTTGTTAAGTAAACGAAAACGTCTGATATGAAGCACTAGCAGGAATATAAGAGTAAAATTGACTGCACCCATCTCATAAAAGTGTTACCCTCTTTTTAAAGTTTCTCACGCTACAAATCTGTTCAATTAATCATAAACGTAGTGCATGTGATCATATTCCAGCAGAGTTAAACAACGACTAAGCCGAGCCTCTCCCACTCTCCGTTACTTATTGACCTTCCTCTATAGCTGGTCTGCATAGCGAACTTGTCACTCCTTAGTTTTGCCTTAATGTTAATGTGTTATTAGTCCATCGACAGCACAGATGTCAAACCTATTCAAACCATCAAGGCAGGTCAGATGAAGAACCAGGTGCTTCCTTAGCAAAGCAGAACAGAGCAGAAAAAAGGTGAAAATGTGTTTCGTTTTGGTTTTTTTCTAAGGTGACATTATAATACAGAGGCGCATGCTAGAAAAGATCCAAGCTGACATGGTCATTATGTACCACCACTACAGCCGAAAAAGAAGAAGCACTGCTGAATTTTAACACCAAGGGAAGCTCCATGTCACTGCGCATATTCGACTGTGACCTGCTCCTCTAAAGCTGCCCGTTTTCCACCGAGCCTTAAAGACGTGGACAAACAGACGGAGCCAAACAGAGAGTCAGCTTAGGATCTAAAGATCTGCAAATATGGATAGTTATAAAGCCATCGGTCAGTGTCCCAATCATCGGTATGACAGGGGCTTTTAACGTTAAACCGGCAAAACATCAACTATCAGAGCCCTTCGCAGAAGGCGCATCATGGGAGAACAAAGTTGGGTGTAAATAATAGGAGTTTCTGAAAAAGGCAATGATGTTCTAATCATTTTAAGGTAAAAAATAGAAATATTAAAAAGGGAATGAAATGAACAACGATTTTTACTAGCTAAAAAATAGAAAAGGCTGAGGTAAATCCAAGCAGGAAATGACTTAAAAGCACACTTTTAGGACAAGTGCCCAACTCAGGAGAGGCTTATAAAGCTAATTAGATGAGATAAAGATGGCAGTTCTGAGCTTGAGACCAGGATGTTACTTTTAAATTGTTGCTCTGTTTCTTCCACAAAACTAAAAAATGTGCTCACATGAGCAAGTCAAGCAGCTTCCCCAAGGGAACCATAAAGTCTGTGAAGCCAAATATGAATTACATAACAGAAATGACTAAAAATCAGAGTGCTGTGAAGTTCAGGTAACTTCAGAGGACACTTGGATGAGCTCAAGATGAAAGGCAGGACCTTTGAAGAAAAAAAAAAAACACTGCAGCTATTAAGAACAGCAGCACTTTCACATGGATTAGTTATGCTGGTAGAGGTGGCTACATCTGATCCACAATGCCACTGGCTATGTCCTTGGACTATTCTCAGTAGAGCACAACAACAGATGAAGGACTTGTTACAGTAGCTATTAACAGCCCTAATCATTTATGGCTTTGTGTGGGCAACTCAAAGAACTGTACAAGGCTGCTGAAATATTAAAGCCTCGGTAAACTAGGAAGGAAAAAACACTCAGACACAAGTCTCTCTGCCAGCAAAACGTACTGCAAGGAGGGAGATGGTCAGACTTAGGAAAATAAAATAAAAAAAAATCCTAATTTTTCACACATGATGATAAACATAGGATTTAGGATGTTTGTCTAAATGGCACTTTAACCTCCTGTTAACAGAAGGACATGTTGGGAACATTCAAAAACATATAAACATATACAATGTGGAGCATTATACATCGACGGGACGCCCCTTAAATGAATCCATGTGTGAAAATGTCATAAGTAAATGTCAATAGCTTTTTCAGGTCTGTCCCGAGGACATGCAGCCCAGCAGCCCAGCGCGTGGGACACAGGACTCAGTCGTACCCTCACTCCCCTCCACCTCATCTATTCTTAATCTGCTCTGCAGAGCTAATTTGCTCAAGTGATGAATTAAACACCATAAGGGTGAAGGACTAAAAACAGATAAAAGGTGGGAAAGAGAAGTTACACATAAACCTCAATAACACATCCAACATTTTTTCTCTGACAAACGGACATAAAAAAGGTTCTTGAGTAGCAAAACTCATCACTTGAGTACTTTTCACGTGTATTTCAATGATAAAGGTAGATTTCTATGTTGCAACAGGTGGGATAAATATGCATTACTCCCCGCCACATTCAGCGTGATCTTACCTCAATGTAGGAACAGAGTTCCCGATAAACCCTGTGAGCAGCCAGCACGTGGGACAGACTGGTGGTGCAAGGGAAGGCGGTGGTCACCGCATGGCTCACTTCCGGTAGAGAAAACACCTTGAAGCCAAACTTCTCGTAAAGCTTCAGCAGCTCTTCGTCCGGTTTCTCTTCGCCCTCGCACAGGACGCTGCCCACTATGTAGCGACATTTCTCTGGAAGAATCTGAGGGTATAAAAAGGAGGGAAGTGTTTTGGTACTGTGTATTATTTTATTCTTTAATATCTTTACGTTGAAAGTGTACTTTTTCTCCAATATTACTACTGTGATTGTCCTTTCCGAGGTTTAAACTTAAATCCCGAGGCGATTTAAGTTTAAACCTGCCCCTTTTCTGTGGCAGGTTCCAGACTTTGGAACAGTCACTCACTTTTATGAACTCGAGTTTAGATAAATTATAAAAACAGAAGTGGAAACAAGCAAAACACTGATCAGCAATTATAAGAAGGACTTGCAGGCTGTTATGCAAAAAAAAAAAAAAAAAAAAAAAGGAAACATTTTTTTTATTATTATTTGTGGGTTATCCAAGAGGGTATAAAATCATTTGCAACAAACAATTTTAATCAACAAGAAATAACATCTTTTTTTGGGTTCAAAACTGATCCTCCTTTAACATTGAATTATTATCTTCTGAGGTTCCTGTCTCAAACAAAACAAAGCCAAATACCTGGTCAAGTGAATATAATTTTAATCTATATCAGCCAGGGATTTGAATGATTTTGGTCTTTCCTATAAATCTACAACAATTACAAAACTCAACTTTTCTGTTGAGTTTACAAACCTCAACAGAAAAGAGAATACTTACTACTAAACACAGTCACATTAATAGGAAAACTGTTGCATCTTAAAGAACTGGTACGACCAAGCAAGCAAGACTTTCAGCAGATAACTGGACGACTTAAAACGGTACAAAAAAAGTTCATCTTTTTGATTATTCTCACTTTTTAGCTATTTGTTATGGAACATGCTGGTGTTGAACATTTGGAAATGCTTTATAGCCGACCCGGGGTGCACATCCCACCAGAAAGAGACCCAGATAAAGACCCTGGATATGCTGGAGAGACTATGTTTCCTGATTGGCCTGGGAACGCCTTGGGGTTCCCCCAGAGGAGCTGACCCAAGCGGCTGGAGAGAAGGAAGTCTGGGTCCCACTGCTTAGGCTGCTTCCCCCACAACCCAACTCGGATTAAGTGGAAGCTCATGGATAAAAGGGTGCAGCCTTTAAAAAAATCTTGGTATCTGAGTAATGGGAAACTTTGGTGCTGGAAGGCCAGTAGACTGAACATTTAAACCTCTTTTACCTCCAACATCTGATTCAATATGTTGGACTAACTCCTTAGCCTGTCACCAAGGCAGCCTAAAACTTATGCAGTCATTTGAATCATATGCAATATACAAGACTCTAGCTGTCAAAGTCTTGAGTCGCCCTCACTTGTTCTTTTCTGTTTTTTGTTATGCCAGCTGCAACCCAGACGTCATACAGTAAAAATGTTAATCATTCTGTATTTGTTTAAAAATATAAGTACGATGCTCTGTTTTCCTTTGCATTGTTATGGCTGCACCAAGCCTCTTTGGACTTGCAAGTCGCTCCTTGTCAACCGTGGCTTTCAAACTCCCGACAGTAACATGAGTGATCTCTATTCTAGGAGAAATGACGATATTGTGTAGTTCCAGTGTGTTTTTGGTAAGTAAACTTCTGGCCCAAACTGTGATTGTTGCGCTAGCGCTTTGCTTAACGCTGCACCAGCGAGAAGCTGCGTGTGTGGAATTAAGAATAGAAGCCTTTTGATTTAAACATGTGGTGACGTTGCAACCTTTGTATTGTCGCAAGTGTCACTGGGCAGAAGTCTGCCAGCTTTGGTGAACATCTTCCACCAGATGGCCAGTAGACAGGTCACATATGTAGCGGCTCAAATTGCGTCATTGCGGAAAATCCGAGTTGAAGAAAGAAACTGCCTCATAATCTTCTATCTAAATATGATGCAACTATTTTAAATTAGAGAAGATTTAGATTTTCTTTTACAGCAGGACATAAAATGTATAACTCATTGGCCCAGTCAATAAACATAAATTATTAGTATCCCCACCATCTGAACACTTTTGCTGGACCAACAACATTTTTTCTTTCTTTTTTTTTTTTAAATACTGGATCAGGACAGCGCTCCTGAGACCAGCAGAGCTTGTTTGTCTCACTTGGTGCTAGTTAAAGAGAGCAAACACAAGCTAGCAGCCAGGCTTGATCTCGCTCACTTAAAAGGTAACTCTGCCAACTTTATGTCTGTTAACGTGCCCACGTGTCTGCATGCAGATGTGATGGAGGCAGAACAGTCGCCGGGCTGGTTGTCAGTCAGAAACGGATCTGACAGAGAATTTCCCACTTGCATCGACTCGCAGACAGTTTCTGTCTAACAGCCACAGATGGAGAGTGGGAGCTGTTGTTACAAGAGCACTTTTTGTCGCTGTGCTTCATGTTCCAGCCCACTACTTTCTAGGTTCTGCGACATCATTTTAAATGTCGGAGGTTGTGCGTTTCCAAAATGTAAAAAAAAAAAAAAAAAAAGTACATTATATATTATATATTAATTTTTTTTTGTTTTTAAATGTGATAAACACAATTAAGGCATGTTTAGTTTTCATTCCATTGAATGAAAACTAAAAAAGTAACACAGCAACTCTAAATAAGCAACTCTTATCAGACTTTGGCATAGAGTGCAGCAAAAGTCCACCCAGTTTGCCAAGATCTTATTGGCATGCAGAACGTTAATGCCTGGCGCTTCCAAGTATAATAGCCCACCAAATATTGAATCAGTTGGGATTGCAGCGTTACACACTTTGATGCTATGATTCAATATACTATGTAGCTCTAATTTTATTTCATTTCAACCCGTAGGTCAAGCAAGAAAGCTTGAGTTTCCGTTGCCCGGGAAAGGGTTAAGACCTGCCTGCTGCGGGTTTCTGCTGTGTGACCGGAGCGTTATCTGTGGAAAGATGACACAAACTGGGCACAGATGGGAGCCAGCCACACTCATCTTCATGTCCCACCCCCCTCCCATCCCCACATAATTATCACATCTAACCTCACAACACCGCCCCCCTCCCCTGCATCTCATTTCTCACATTCTGGGATATTTTTTGCCTCCACTCGGTTACTTCAACACTGCGCGGTTTTCGTCGTCCTGTTTTGCTCTAGTGTCGTAACTCGAACCCATTCGAACAATCCAGTCAGTGCCCTTTAAAAAAACGAATCGGTGTTACATGCCTGACAACAGTGACTGACAACGTCTGTTTAATGTGATAAAATCTGCCATCGCCCGACACTGTGCTCTACAGTGAGTCAGAGAACAAAGATCACCTGCCGTTGACAGGGAAATTACTTATTCCAGCCAGCAGGAGGTATACCCACATCTGTTTACAAAGAGGCCATGAGTCACTGCAAACAGAAGCAGCCATGCAGCTGTGTTAGCATTGTCAGAATAAATTAGCGCCACAATGCAATGAAATGCAGATCTAAAGCGGCTCGAAGGGGTACTCATACCACATATACATTTTTTTTTTTTTTTTAAGTCACAGCAACCTTCAGTGTATTTTTGTTAGGATGTCACATGACAAACTAACAAGAGAAAGAGCACGACTGTAAGGTTGAAGGAGAGGAATTCATGGTTTTGAAAAAAAACAAAAAAATAATAATCTGAATAGCATCCAATATGTTGCAGAACTACATTTTGTCTGAGAACTCCTGGAAGTTTTCCCCGTTCATTTTCACATAATAGCTTAAGCTCAGTCGGGTTGGATGGCGAAGCTGTGTGAACCTCTGTGAACGTCAACGTTCAAGTTCTGTTTGATTTGGGTCTGGAGTTTCACCGAAACCATCCTTTTTGTAGCCCAAACTTTATGTTTAGGGTCGCCGACACCGCTCAGCTCAAATCATTTAGTTTTCTTCCAGGCGCGCAGTATATGCAGCCCCATTCATATTCCCATCAACTCTGACCAGGTCGCTCCTCCTGAGATACGATGGGCCTTTAGATCCGCTTCTCTGATTAATGCTCTCCTTGCCCGGCTGGTCAGATTGTGCAGATGGCTATTTCTTGGCAGCTGTATTATATTTCATTTTCACAGTGATAGATGGTTATGTCCAAAGCTTCGGGTACTGTTTTATTATTCACAACTTCATCCTTGTGAACAAAACACAACCCTCGGTCTTGGTATTCAATAATGTTCTAAAGAAGAAGAAAAAAAAACTCAAGAGGCTTTCACAGAACATCTGGACCTAAACTTAAATTAATTTACATAGATATATTTAATTTAATAATTAGGTGACACCAGACATTGTTTGTAATGGATTTTAATTAGGCTAGTCAGATCAATGGGACTGAACTGATGACTGCATGAACAAGTAACTTTCAAATGTTTGTTTTCCTTTCCTTATGCATTACTTCGTTTGTCTGTCCCATGTCAAAGTGAAACATGCTCGTTGTTGCAAATACTTTTGCAACATTTTTGCTAGAAATATAACTGGTTTGCAGTCAACTTTCTTTTAATTGTGTTTAAAAAAAAATGTAGCAGTTCTGACTCCAGTTTCACCTTAAACACCACTGCAATAAAAACGATAGCTGAACATCCCACGCCGACTGTTTTCTCAGTCTGATTTTCCCCGTTTCCACTCGGAGTGATTTATCCGCAGAGATTGTTCAGGATCCCCACCTCTCTCCTCCATGGACGCATCAAGTGGATTGGCCTGTCAGCGAGGCTTCTGCACAGAGCTACTCCCTGTCAACACTGGAGGTCTTTGATAAGACACAACAGCAAGTATCCAAACACAGAGAGGGATAAAAACTGTCCTCCCACAGTCCTTCCCTCCCTATCTTACATCTCGCTGCGTCTCCTGCTCGCCACTCTGATGGACTAGAGTGTGTTAGCCAAACCAGTAGTTCGCTAATGATATCATTCAGGCCTCTAGCTATCATTCACATCCCACACAGTGGCAAGTACAAACAGCCGCCCCGACTGCATCTCATCTCTGCTTCCCTCTAGATAACACACCCCAGAGACAACAGACAATTAGGAGAGGGAGGAACATCACTCCGTGTGCTTGACTTGTCTGGTCTTTTCGACCGCGGTTGTTTTGCTCGTCTGAAGCGCCGCAGCCGCAAAAAGGCAGAAATTTGTTG